CTGACTGGTGTGGCTCAGTGGGCCAGGCATTGTCCTGCAAACTGAAAGGTCGCAGGTTCAATTCCTGATCAGGGCACATGCCTGGGGTGAGGGCTCAGGCCCCTGGATGAGGGCTTATAGGGGGCAGCTGATAGATGTTTCTCTTTCTCCCTCCCTTCCCCTCTCTCTAGAAATAAATGAATAAATAAAACTTTTAAAAAGAAGAGTACCTAACACAGAGGGCCCCTGTAAGGATTAAAAAGAATTGTGTGTACGAAGTGCTTTGTATAGCTATTATTATGAAAAAAAATTAGAGTTTGTAAGTTAAAATCAGAAAAATATTCTAACTCCCCAAAAGGGTTAGGACCTGAGATTTTTTAGAAAAAGAGGGGAACACAGAAGATTTTAGAGGTTTAGAGTGAACTCTCCTTCCAGAGACACCTAGGAGAGCAGAAGAGCCCCATCCGTGAGGGCAGGGTGAGGTCTCTCGTGGGGGAAGTTGGCCCCGCTGGGACCCCTGGGCTGAACAGGAGCCTGACGTGTCCTTTCTCCCACCCGCACAGAGAAGGGCATGGCCCCTGCCCTGCGTCAGCTGTACAAGGAACTCATGGGGCCGTGGAACAAGGACGAGATCAGCATCGCCGACGCCATCTTCGTCCAGCGGGATCTGAAGCTGGTTCAAGGCTTCATGCCTCACTTCTTCAGGTTGTTTCAGACCACAGTCAAGCAGGTGGACTTTTCAGAGGTGGAGAGAGCCAGGTTCATCATCAATGACTGGGTGAAGAGACACACGAAAGGTGAGCAGGCAGGGAGAGGAGGTGGTCCCCAAGAGCCTGCCAAGAGAGGGGATTTGGAGACAAATCCCAAATATCCCAACCTCTCCCTTTCAGCATTCTCTTCTTTGTAGGCTAAAGGTCAGGAGCTTTAAGCATCACCATCATATTTTCTAGAATTAGGTCTTCTCATGAACCAACTTTAAAGGCATCCCTAAAAAGTGTTACAGGATTTCATTAGAACGTTAATAACCAGGATGAGGAGCACACACAACCCGTCAAGACTACAGTTTAGGGAGCAAAGTGAGGGAAGACTTAAGTTTCCAGGGCTGATCCTGGGCAGGATCCCAGGCCCAAGAAAGTGTGGTGAGCTAGGAGGCTTTCTGAGACCCTTAGAAAGTTGGAGCGCGTTGAAAACAGCTGGATTGGTTCACCTAAACTCCCAGGCTATCTTCTGACAGGATCTCTTCAACAGACACACATCCATTTGAAGCCTGGGAGCTGAAGGGATCTGTGGAAGGGGATTAAAAAAAATGGCTAGCTCCTGATCACCTGGTTTTCCCATAGGCATGATTAGCGACTTACTTGGTGAAGGGGCCGTGGACCAGCTGACGCGCCTGGTGCTGGTGAATGCCCTGTACTTCAATGGCCACTGGAAGACACCCTTCCCAGAGCAGGGCACCCACCACCGCCTCTTCCACAAGTCTGATGGCAGCACCGTCTCGGTGCCCATGATGGCTCAGACCAACAAGTTCAATTACAGTAAGTGCAAGACTCCCTTCCCCAAGTCCCTACTGGAAGTCACCCCTGGGCGTCCCCCTCTAAAGGAGGGGGAACCCTAGAATATACCTCAGCTTTAACAAAGACTTCCCAAAGAAGAAACGCTAGGATAGTGGGAGCAGCAGAAGTAGCTTTATTTTATACAACATGAAGCTGAAATCCAGCAGTTCCCTCAGGCCCACATTTGACCATCGAACCCTGTCTCTCATCCTCGGGTGTTTCTAGTGTGATGACAAATCGTGCTGTGGGGGGGCTATGTGGAAGCTGAGGTTCAGGAGCTGAGTCCTGGAATGAGTCAGTGGGGATATGGGGGAGGGGGAGTGAATATAAAGAGAGCCAGAAAGAAACAGAAACCAAACGACACTGAATTGGCAGAAAATAAGGGAAATGGAAATGAAAACACTGAACAGGGGAGTGGTGGGTGTGGGAGCATCAAAAGACAGAACTGAGAGCTGGCTTCCAGAAAGAGCGGAGGGGACGGGAGAACTAGTTGAAAACCCAGTGCTGGGTTGGGATCAACGAGAGCTGGAGCCATGCTAATGTGCCATCTTGGTGTCTTCTCAGCTGAGTTTTCCACCCCTGATGGCCATTACTACGACATCTTGGAATTGCCCTACCACGGGGACACTCTCAGCATGTTCATTGCTGCTCCGTATGAGAAAGAGGTGCCTCTCTCTGCCCTCACCAACATTCTGGATGCCCAGCTCATCAGCCAGTGGAAAGGGAATATGACCTGCCTGCCCCGTCTCCTGGTTCTGCCCAAGTAAGACCCACCTCCTGCCAGTGCTCTAATCCCTTCTACCTTCCGCCTCCACTCTCTCTTAAAAACACCACCCCCACATTGATTTTCCCAAATGTGATGATGCTTATAGGGCAGGGTTACGTGTGGGAGGCTGATGGGAAACACTCTGGCTTGGGTTTGATTAAGATTTCTCTCCTCATCCCATTTCTGCTGGAGGGCAAGGAGTCTAGGCTGTGCCCTGGCATAACCTCTCTCAAAATATACAGCAAAAGCCAGCCAAAGGAAGAGCCAGAGTAATGACAGAGGTGGGAGGCTAAATCTGCCTTCACCCTTTTATGAATGCCTCTCACTCCCACCTCCATCTCCCCAAGTGAACATCCAAACAATGGGGACAAAAGGAGTGACTTCTGCAGATGGAGTGGCTGGAAGTGTAGCTGCTAGCTGGCTTCCAGCAAAGCAAGTTTTTAAAATCCCTCTGCAGAAGCCAACAGGGTGGAGAAGGCTGAGGCTGGGTAATTCCAGAATTGTAGGGAAGCCTCCCACCCACCATGCTTACCTCAAATTTCCATATACTATAATGTCAGGCTCTGGGGAAGAGGAAAATTTAGTTGGTTTGTTCGCTCTCTCTCTTCTTCTCTCCCTCTCTCCCTTCCTCTCTCAGAAACGGAGGTAATTAGCTGTGCCCTGATGGGAAGCAGAGGGCACCCTGAAGACTCGCTGCTCAAGTCCTCTTCAGGGTTAACTCTCAGAAATACGATCTACAGACCAGATTTTTGTTCAGATAGTCTTGCAGGAGAATTTGCCCATGCCCTCCGCCCCCCAGCCAGGCTGAATAACTACTGCCTTATTAACTGAGAAAGTGATTAGTCATAAGTTCCAGAGGATTGGGAGATTGCAGAAGAACGTTCATTAATATTAGAACCTCTAGCAAGCAGAGAGGCTTTGGAAAAAGATTTGAAGTACTAAGCCTCCCTCTGTTACCGTCACATCAGCCCAGTCCTGTCAGGCTGCTGGGGTGATACCTGGTGGGGACCTGGAGAGGCGGCCAGAGGCAGCCTGAGCTTAAACTGTTTCCTGCTCCTGTCTATAGGTTCTCCCTCGAGAGTGAAGTTGACCTCAGGAGGCCCTTGGAGAATTTGGGGATGACTAATATGTTTAGTCCAAGCCAGGCGGACTTCTCGAGTTTTTCAGGTAAGAGATTTTCATTTCACTTTCTTATCCTGGTGGACTGTGAGGCCCCTTAGGGGACAAAGGCGCTTCTCCCTGAAAACATGGCTGATGTACTCTTGCATCCACCCATTTCAGATCAAGAGCCTCTCTACGTATCGCAGGCACTGCAAAAAGTGAAGATCAAGGTGAATGAGAAGGGCACGGTGGCATCCTCCTCTACAGGTGAGTCGGGCTTAGGTGAGGCCTGGCAAGTCTCAGCCCAAGGCTTACTGGAGGGGTCACTATGGCACCCAAACCCAGGATGGACCCCCTCTGCTCTATTCCACCAAGCCTCTCCTAAAAGCAGCTCTTCCTGTGCGGGGAGTATTGCCTTTTCCTCACTAGTGTTTCCCAGCCTAGAAAATGGGCCCAGTGGCTCCTAAGGTCGCCTGAATTTGAAAGGCTTCCCAAAGGAAAGCTCCTGGGTTGCTCTCACAGTGGCTAAGTCAACTTAAGGAACTTGCTTATCAATACGGCCTAGAAAGGTATAAATGTCTGTTTGTAATAGAGCAGCTGATAGATCTCTCCTGAACTCCTGGAGAAAACCAGGCCTCAGAGGACTTCCCTAAACGTTTAGGGTTCATGTCCAACAGAAAAATGGAGCCTCCTAAAAATCAGCCCCCAGTGCTGCCACCAGAGGGAAGGCTGATGTCTGTGGACCACTTGTGACCAATCCAGGAAACAGTGCCGACGTCCCTCTGTTCTAAGACATTGTCCCCTCTCTTCCAGCCATTACTGTCTCAGCCCGAATGGCTCCCGAGGAGATCATCATGGACAGACCCTTCCTCTTTGTGGTGCGGCACAACCCCACAGGTGAGCCCGGGGCCCATGACTTGCCCCCCATTTCGGGTACCAGTCCATTCACGTATAGACACTACTCTTATGTATGCCAGGACTCTAGGCAAGAAACCCGTAGCTCTGTTCCTCCTCCTCTCCTCAGGGCAGGGCTCTATCACAGAGGGCTGTGCCAGGACCCCAGTCCTAGCTTAGTCACTGAAGCAGCTGTGACTCCAGGCATCTCACTCATCTTCTCACATCTTAGTTCATCCATAGACTTCAAGCTTGGTGAGCCATGCCATTCCTTCTAATTCTCATCTCCCATGACTCTTCCATCCTCAGGAACGGTCCTTTTCATGGGCCAAGTAATGGAACCCTGAACTTGAAGCCCTCATCTGGGACAGAACTGGAGATGTATCAGAGAAGAAGAAACTCTGAAGAAAAGAATTTTTATTTTAATTAATCTTTCTGGAGAAAGAGAAGACATTTGCCTTTTTTGATTGTTTTTAAATGGTAAATCTGCCTTCTAGACCTCAGCCTCTCCCAAGGGAAGAGAAAGAGGACCCCTCAGTAAAACTCCCCAGTGGAGACCCTGGGAGGGACCTCTGAAGCGTGGCTCCCTGAAGGTCTCCAAACCGCACTGTGAGACTCTCAGAGCCACTTAGCAGCTGCTTCTGCCCATCGCTCTGCCTGCTTGGGCCTTCAGACCTGGATCCCACGGAGGCCTGGCAGGGTGGCACCACAGGCTTACAGGAGCTTTCGTGTGCTTGGTAGCAACTCTTTGTGTTCCAGTCACGTTGCCATCACTCTTGCACTGTCTGCCGCTGCTGAGGAGGCTGGCGGCAGGCCAGAGAAGACCAATGGAAGAAACGCTCCTTCACTGCAAGGTTCATCCTTCTCAGCTCAGAGGTGCTGTTGAATGGCAGAGCAGTGGCCCACCTGGTGCAGAGATCCACCCTGGCCTGGCCGTCTCCCTCCCCAGAAACAGAAATATTATTTCAGAGTGTAGGTGACTTGTTTACTTAGAGAAGCAGGTTTCTGCTTCCCACAAACTTTATTTTGCAGGAATAGAGGAAGAAGGTATGCCTGGCTCTTGGCTCCAGTCTCCTAGTGGGGAGGGTGGGATGCCAGAGGTGTGCTTGAATATTTATCACATTCTTGGGTGCCTGTTAGAGAGAAAGAGGACTATCAAGAAAAGCATATTATTTAAACTTGCTTAGAGTGTTCCTTTGTGGTCTGTGTCATTGCATCTCAGGAGTCTGGCCACTCAACTGCCATGCCCCTGTGGGCAGCAAGCACAAGGGGCTCACACTGCCACCTTGTGGCTGCCTGAAGCCCATCGCTCTTCTTTTGTTGCCTTTCCACAGGATGGATTAGGACCCCTGCCAAGATTACCCAACTTCATCCACTTTAGGGACCAAAAGGATGTGGTGGGTGAGAGAGATTAGCATGAGGACAGAGTGGTTTCAAAATTTTCCAATATATTTAGGAGCAGGAGTGCAAACGGATGCACGACCTAGCAGGACAGAACTTTCCCCAATTATAGGGTGACTCACAGCTGCATTGGTGACTCACTTCAATGTGTCATTTCCGGCTGCTGTGTGTGAGCAGTGGATACGTGAGGGAGAGGGGGAGAGAGAAAATGAGAGGGAATGAGAGAAAGAGACAGCGAATTTGGGCTCGACTACCCTAGTTAGACAATCTTTCTGAAAACCAACTAAGCTAGGGGTATGGCATGAAGACCAGTTTGTTGAAGAATTGCACATAGATGTTGAATGAATGCAGTCCAAAAGAACCCTCATCATCCCACTCTTCAGTGAGAAATCTCGGTTCTTTTTTTTTTTTTTTTCATTATGCACTGGACAATGATATCCACATGCTGTACTCACCAGGTTACCCAAATGTGGGGTCCAATGTTCTCGAAACGGTGTTGAATTATATGCTTTTTTCACTTCTGATATATAAAAAGTAAAACTGTTTTTTTTAATTAAATAAATAAATAAAAAGAATATTCTAAAACAGTCCCTGCATTTACTTCCCACAGTTCACACAGCACCAAGTCAACATACTGCCAGTTCATAGCCCCGTCGGGTGGAAGGGACCTTTAGGAAACACGCGCACACTGGCCCAGGCGTGCTGACTTGCCATGGTGAGTCCGCAGGACTGCTGCTGGGGCTCAGCAAGAGGGCCCCGGGGACACGTTGCGTGGGCACGAGTCTTTCTTCAGGCATCATCCTGAAGGGGGAGAAAGGGTTCCCCAAACGCCATCAGGCAGGCCTGCTCACACCCACTGTCCCTGTGGGTTCCCGTCCCCACTCATGCCACTTCCTTCTACCACCCAACGCCCCCACCCCTTGCACCCACCCTCTCTCCATTTCTCAAAACCCAGGCTGAGTCCATTATCTCCAACCAGCGTTCCCGTGGATCCAGTCAACATCATCGCACTCCAGTTGGCATTCACTGGTTTTTCCTTCCCCTGGTGTTTAACAGTGCTTTCATTCATGCACGCTCAAGTGTGCATGGCACCCCCACCCCCATCTACATATCGGGTTCCTGGAAAACAAGGCCCTTTTGTTATCCACACTCTTCATATCCTCCTTAAAATGGCATCCTGGAAAGTCTTTTATTTTCTTCTTCTAGTATCTTGAAGACTTTTCCCAGAAGACATATGTACTCCAACTAGTTTCTGTTTATATAATCAAAAATTTTTTTAAACTGAAAAATTACCAAGAATTATCCATCAAAATTGTGTGCCTGCCTTCTCCAGGACCCTCAAGACAAGACTGATGGATCTGGCCCCTGGGATCCTAGGCCGTATCTAAATAGAAAAGAATTACCATCTGCAGCGGGAGGGGTACTGGTCAAAACACTGTCTGATAGTTAAGAGGTAATGAGTTCTCCGTCACTGGAAGTGTTCTAGGAAAGCCAGGGTGACCACTTGGTGGGGATACTTCAGTAGACAGGGTATAAGATGAGGTGACTTTTTTTAAGTGATAAAGAACGTGTGCTTATTGAAAGACAGTCAAACAGTTCAAACGGTAAAAGTGAGAACTTAGTAGGCCTCAGGTTCTTGGGTGTTTTCCCAGAACTTTGCTGAGCATTTATAAGAATATTTAAAACATTTGTGATTTTTACACAAGATCATTATGTATATATTATATACATTTATCATATATAATATACACACACACACTTCTGCAGCTTGCTTTATTTACCTAATGATATATCCTACACACCTGTCCCTAATTCTTTTTACCAGCTGCATATATAGATGTACTATAATCCCTTAACCACTGCAGATGGACATTTTGGATTTCGTGGCTTTCGAAATTGTCATTGTTGTTACCAGCAATGCTGAGGTGGATATCCATCCACGTTTATCCGTATGTCCGTGTCCTTGTGCATCCGTACAATAACTCCCTAGAAACGGAACTAAGGACCTCCCAGTCCTGCAATTCTGTGATTCTGGTAATATAAACATTTTCAAATGGTACAAAACAATCAAAAGTGATCTTTGCTGGGTTAGAATCTTAACTTTGCTCCAGCTTAAATAAGCCTTCCCAACTTTCCTAAAAAAAGCTCACTGCCGTAAATAAAAATAAATTTTAGACATTGAACTAAAAAGAAACTTCCTATTTTCATTCTCTCTAAAATGATGTTAGACTTTCTTGTAGCAAATTCTGATCATGGTGTAAATCCAGGAATGGCATTCACTCATTTACTCACTCCCCAGTCACCAGCACGTCCTGACGGCCGTCTCACTGCCCTTTGCACTCCTGCCTTCCTCTCAGGCTTCCTCAGGGGCATTCTTGGGTGCCTCGGCACGATGCACTAAGACAGCGATTTTCAACTGGTGTGCCACAGGATTTTTAAAACGTGCAATACCTATTTAGTCAGAGGCACTGACCTCTTTTCCCTTAGACTGTCAAATAAAAAAATGAAAAGAGCCAACAGAACAATGGCTGTCTGGTGTAAATGAATCAAAATTATAGCTATTTTTTGGAAGATCAGCAAAAAATGTTATATTTCTTGGTGTGCTGCAGAATTTGAGTGAGAGTGCACGTATGCCACAGGACGAGAAAGGTTGAAAGTGCTGCACTGAGATGTTCAAAGGAAATGTGCTCCTAGGACACCTCTTCCTGATGGGTTCCTCTCTTCAGGTTTGCTTTCTTCAAGCTCTCTCTTCGCCGAAAGCTGATATAGTCAGAGGGGACCCAAAGCCCACTCAAGCCTGGAAGGAAGGTTTCCCTCTCTCCTTAGAAAGCCAGTGGGATCCAGGGCAAGACCCAGAGGAAAGAAGGCCCAGGATGGGTGTCTCACTAAAGTTACTCTCAGATTTAGAGAGAAACTCTCTCTTTTCACCTCAGTGAGTTTTCCATCTTTCTTTTCCCATGCAACTGGCAAGCTTTGTAGGACAAAGACATGGTTGTGGAAGTAGAGAAAAAAGGCCAAAGAGGGCCTTTGGCCTACTTCTGTCTTGGACTATAGACGCAAAAACTTGGTGTGGCTTAATCCGGTTCACAAGATACCTCTAACACTGAGATTTGTGGTGAGAACTTCAGCTGGTACTCAAGTATTCCTCTTCCTGCAGGAGTAGTCCCTTCCTTTTGTACACATCCCCCTCTGGGCTCACAGGGGTGCCTGGGGTCCTGAAGACAACAGCTCAAGAATTTGGGGACACCAGGACCCAGATATATCTTTCATCTTCTTTATACCCCGAAAATATGACTGATTCCAGATAGTGGCTGAGGAGTTACCCATCTGTAACAAATGTGCTTGGGAAGCCAAAAAAGCCTCTTTTCTTTTCCTCCACAAGACGCTTCAAAAAGTGGAACAAGTGAGCCTTAATTTTGCAGTATACGGTTCAAAAACTGTCTATACATGCTGAGAGGTCTCAGAAGAAAAGAGTTCTTCAGAAGGTCTCATGACGGCAGAGGGCACTTGCTCCAGAAAGTGTCCCATTTTAACAGTGCCCTCTATTTTCTTAGATATTCTGAGGACAAAGACAGTGATACAGCCTCACAGGCTATGCCCAGGCCCCCTCCTTCACCGTTCCAAGTCTCTTTTCCTCTCTCTATTTCTTTAGAGATTAAAAAGCAACAAGTGCTGCTTCTAGCATCATTACTGCAGATTTCCTATAAACCTCACACAGTGGAATTCCTCATCAGCCTGCCCAAGTATGCGCAATGAGTATGAACTTTGTAAATCCCTCAATGGCAAAAAGTATTTTATCAGAGTGAAACTTGTCAAGGAAACACCATCTGTTTCAAAATCACTTTAAAAAGATGGTTCCTCAGTTTTAGTCAGTCTTGTTGTACTAACAGTAGCAAACATTATGTAGAGATTAGGAAACTAAGACCAGAGAGGCTGAATGACTTGCTGCTGTTACTGTTACTTAGCCTCAGGCAGTGGGGCGTGTCCGTGTTCCTCCCCACTGCACCCCATCTGCATGCCTTCTCCGTGCCTATCTGTACGGCACCTGTGAACACAGGTCCCTGAGAGCACACCGCACAGTCAACTGAAGCCAGGGGCATAGGCGCTGCCCTCAGGTGCCAGTCACCAGCACATCCTGCACTTACTTACACCTTTGCCTGACTAGCCTGACCACTGGCATCCTGCAGGTAGCCTCTGGTCCTTAGCCACCAGATGTCGCTTTGACTCCAGTCTTCCTTGTAAACCTTTCTAGACACAAAGCAGCTGTGGCCTCCACCAAAATCTTGCCAAATTTGAACTCCATTCAATTTAGTAAGTGTTTATTTAAAAGCTTAACTTTATATTGCATGCTGTGAAGCACTTTTTACAAAGTGTAAGTGATGTTTTTGACTATCAACTATCTAAGGAGAATAGACACCAAAAAGCTGAAATATTATGTGAGTCACTGCAAAAGTGATTGAAAGGAACATTGTAGAAATGATCACTATAGTCTAGATTGGAGCGTAAAGGCTCAGCAGTAGTGGCTGCTTGACTGAAACTTAAAGGATGAATAAGATGAATTTAGGTTCATTGGGGAGGGAATAGCAGGCCATTCCAGAAACGGTGTGAACAAAATCCCAAAGTAAAAACAATAGCAAGGCAGTTTCAAGGAACACACCTGAGGGTGAAATCTCAAGTCGCCAGGTTGGTTTATAGACTGTTGCCTTCCTCCTCTGCTAACCCAGCCAGCTGT